TAGAATATATTCTTCAATCAGAAACATTTCAATTGTGCCTGAATGAAGCACGTGAAGCATTTGATGAAGCGATGGTTTATGAACTTCAGAATGACTCAGAAGATGATTTGAAAAACAATCTTGAATATTTATTAAAATGGATTAATCAATGGCCATTCAATACTATGATGGAGTAATAACACAATATTTACGTTTACTATTTCGTTTGTTATTTAGAATGATTGTTTAATAAATACTATCGAAAGAAGAAAGCTCTAATGTATAAATCATGATTGATAGAAAACATAGTAAGGCTCTGATCGACATTCTCATCGGATAAAAATTAATATAAGTTCCATCTAATCACAATTTGTTGTTGCTGTCTCGATGCACATGGAGATGACTGACAACTCCCGTAACGGCAATCTCTCAATTAGTCAAACGTCTCTAGTTCTGAACGAATGACAATATGTAAAACAAAGACTCACGAGTATTTTCTGATTTTATTTATCTTGCTTTTACAAATGTTGTTTAGAACCGTTCAAATATAATCTCACTAGATTTGGTTTTAAAAAGTTTTTAATACAGTTTTACAATACGCTAGTGTAGATACTGTACGTGATGCTGTTATTTTTCGGTAACACGATGTATTTTCATTCGTGTGCGCTAAATGTACTTTCAGAAACTTGACTGTACTAAAACTCTCGGTCCAAATGAAGAGGCAAACAACGGACTTCCAGATCCTTGAGAGTGCAATGAAAATGTAAAAAATCCGAGGAGTACGGGATCCGCCTCTTCTCCCTTGCTTCGATGACTAAAGAACCGCCTGTTTTTATCTGCAATGCAACAATAAGATATTATATACAGCGTGTCCAACGTCTTCCAACTGCCTATCGTTCAGCTTTAATTAGCTATACACATTCTTTTGATAATTACAAGCTCGCAAGTATGAACAATCAGTTACATATTACTAATGCGTTACACAGTATTGCACGCGTGTACGATAACCTTGACGACAATGTTCGTACACTGAAATATTTTCCTGAAATGCTTGAGATTGCGACGCATTTTACACTTTCCCATCATCAAGATCTGATGGTTGTTCACGTAAGAGCTTTACTTGCTCTATTACATATGGGTAAATATATTGATCTCCTACGTACATCAGATATAACACTGGATATCGCTAAATAAATACTCTCTAAAAAGAATACTCCGTTGAGTACCATACTCGATATCATTGAAGAGCTTTTATATGAAAAACCGTTTAAACCAAGCTTTCGCGTTTTCACAAATTTTTTCGCATTATCCACCATGACACTTGAAACAAAACTTACAGTTTTTGTTATACAGACTCAAAATTTCTTTTATACACTTGAAAATGAGGATGTGTTACTGATAGTACTTGCTGCGCAATTTGAAGAGCGTCTTTGTAAAATAAATAGGCTTTTGAATATTCACCCATGTGAGAATACACCAAACCGATGTTGTTGTAGGATGAAGCTACATCTGGATGATTCGAAGGAAGTGATTGTAGTTTAATTTTGAGGGCCTCTTCATGTGAAACTAGCGCCTTTGAATATTCACCCATGTGAGAATACACTGCACCGATGTTGTTGTAGGATGAAGCTACATCTGGATGATTCGAAGGAAGTGATTGTAGTTCAATTTTGAGAGCCTCTTCATGTGAAACTAGTGCTTTTGAATATTCACCCATGCGACAATACACATTACCAATGTTGCCGTAGGATGAAGCTACAGAAGGATGATTGGAAGGAAGTGATTGTAGTTTAATTTTGAGGGCCTCTTCATGTGAAACTAGTGCTTTTGAATATTCACCCATGTCAGAATACACTGCACCGATGTTGTTGTAGGATGAAGCTACATCTGGATGATTCGAAGGAAGTGATTGTAGTTCAATTTTGAGGGCCTCTTCATATGAAACTAGTGCTTTTGAATATTCACCCATGTCAGAATACACATTACCAATGTTGCCGTAGGATGAAGCTACATCTGGATGATTCGAAGGAAGTGATTGTAGTTTAATTTTGAGGGCCTCTTCATGTGAAACTAGTGCTTTTGAATATTCACCCATGTGAGAATACACTGCACCGATGTTGTTGTAGGATGAAGCTACAGAAGGATGATTGGAAGGAAGTGATTGTAGTTGAATTTTGAGAGCGTCTTCGTATGAAACTAGTGCCTTTGAATATTCACCCATGTCAGAATACACATTACCAATGTTGCCGTAGGATGAAGCTACAGAAGGATGATTCGAAGGAAGTGATTGTAGTTCAATTTTGAGAGCCTCTTCATATGAAACTAGTGCTTTTGAATATTCACCCATGCGATAATACACATTACCAATGTTGCCGTAGGATGAAGCTACAGAAGGATGATTGGAAGGAAGTGATTGTAGTTTAATTTTGAGGGCCTCTTCATGTGAAACTAGTGCTTTTGAATATTCACCCATGTCAGAATACACTGCACCGATGTTGTTGTAGGATGAAGCTACATCTGGATGATTCGAAGGAAGTGATTGTAGTTCAATTTTGAGGGCCTCTTCATATGAAACTAGTGCTTTTGAATATTCACCCATGTCAGAATACACATTACCAATGTTGCCGTAGGATGAAGCTACATCTGGATGATTCGAAGGAAGTGATTGTAGTTTAATTTTGAGGGCCTCTTCATGTGAAACTAGTGCTTTTGAATATTCACCCATGTGAGAATACACTGCACCGATGTTGTTGTAGGATGAAGCTACATCTGGATGATTGGAAGGAAGTGATTGTAGTTGCAGTTGAAGAGATTTTTCGAATAGTGTTATAGCCTCTTCATATTGTCCTTGATACAATTTTATCGTGCCAAGTTGGTTATAAACATTTTCCATACCGTCTGTAGATGGTCTTTCATTAACCAGTGATCTACAGATTCGTTCAGCAATACCTAAGTGGCCTATATTCGTTAGCACAGCACCTAAGCGCTCCCATCCTTTTGCACCTGGACAACTTTCTTTTCGGATTTGCTCAGTAAGTACTCTCAATTCTTCATCATCACTATTACTCAACGATAGGTTTACTAAATACACTTCTTCATTTTCTTCAACTGCCTTGATATTATCTATGCGAAAGATGCTGTGCATCGAAAAGAGAATTTCTTCTTCCTCCGGATATTGACTGATGGATTGAACGGAAGCGAACGTTGCAGTTGATTGTTTAGGATCAATTTCCATTACAAAAAGAACATTTACAAGGTCACTGTTCTTTTGATTTTCTGGAAGATAAAAGAGGGAGACCTTGCGGTTCTTACTAGTAGACAAGAAGTTATTGAATGACAACAATCCACCTTTGGATGCTACCAATTCATCAAAATCTTTTCTTGCCAAACTTTGAGCACGATAAACTGTGAAGCTTTTAGCACTAGGGACGTCTCCAAACTGTTGCCTGTGCAGTAGTTCAACGTGTCGATGGAGATCACTGATAAAAAAGCCCATTAGTGTGATCACTTCGCCATCCATCACTCGTAATGCACGATTCAACATACCGTACAAAAATCTCTGTGATGTATACCACCAAATGGGCGTTTCACAACGATATCTAGATTCCAATTGTTTTACTTTCTTTCGATCAATTTCGTTATGAACAAATTTATCACAATAATAGTCGACGAATTCTTTTATATGTTTGCCTTCAAATTTTATGGTTAATAATATTTCTTTAATAATCTGCGTGTGCATAAATGATGGATCTAATTGATCTAATCTTTTGTCAAATTTCACAAAGCTCATAGGTATGGTATTGAGTTCATTATGACGAACGATTTGTCTTAATTGTTGACAAATATGAATAATGTCAATAGAAACACTCTTCACCTTCAACCAGTTTTTAGCCCAGCGTTCGTGTCGATTTTGATTGTTGCAAAAGATGAAAATAGAGTTGATATTGGAGATATCATGTATGCAGGGTACAATATTTTGGCCAAGCGATCCTGAAATGAGTAGATATACTTCTGTGTCGATGTTATCGACAATAAATTCAATGCACTGATCGTTATCAGTAAAAGTATGAACATCACTGACAACAAGTTGAAGCTGAGTAATTACATTCCGGCAGTCTTGATTACTGCTGTGAATATGGTTGTCCAGCCAGACCACAATAATATCTTGTACTTGTTGAATAATTACAGGATTAAACTTATCTGTTTCGTGCGAAGTCACTGTTGTCTGCTTAATCATACTTGTATTGCTTGTAACGCAAACGCTATAATAAGAAGACGTTGAAAAAATGGTTATTTATTAGAACACACTTAAAATCTCTTATCAGCTCGAATTTTAGGAGTCTGTGGAGAGAGCTTTTTTCTTCCTATGTAGATAAATTTGTCTTCATAAAAAAAACCTTAAGAGTGTGATATGGAAAAGAAACAGCGAAACTTATCAATGCAAAGCTAGCTCAAAATGACGATCTATGAGAAAAAAAAGAAAATTTCTATTGGTCAAAAGTCAATCAATGATAAGATTCATTTCATGAATGAAAAATCCATCAAAAAGTACAAGTTTTTGGACATGGCGGCCATAATAACAAAAAGCTAGCACAAAATTTTGATGATGAAAGACATAGTCTATATCTGACGGGGAAATAAAAAAATATTGATCAGTTGATGAACTATATTCATTTTCCATCATATTTTCGTAAAATATAGATGCAGTAATGAAAGAGAGCAACATATTTGTGTCAAGTTATCATTTACAATTAATATAATATAAAGACCTATATAACGATGTACAGAAAGTTTAATAAGAAGAGAAATCTGAAAAGTATTGCCAAGAATTGATAATTCTCGTCGCCCGTTATATACTGTCTGTTCATGTATATATTTTTGCTAGTCTGTAAGACGTGATGTTAATCGATTCGTCCGCCGTATAGGTAACTAACAGAGAACGTTCGGTCATGTGCTAAGTTCAAGTTCATTTCCTATTTGACGTAAACACTTAGAAAAGAAAGCACATAATAGAACTATGTGCTTAATTCAATTACATATTAAGTTAAAAGAACAATAGTAATTTGCTATCATCTGTTTTTAATGTGGCCGTCGAATTATCAATTAGATAATATCGATCGAACAATGAGGCTTTATATATATATATATATATATTTATTTATTTATTTATTTATTTATTTATTGCATTTTATCATGAATATTCTTACTCATCTACTGATTCTTCGAACCTTACAAGATTATTTAAAGCAAATACAGAATGGTTTCTAAACTCAGTCTTTTCATCATTATTCTGATGATTGAATTTATTCAATCGACAAACGTATATAATATTTTAATGAAACTATTGCTGATTCTTTTGTATCATAGAGGTGAGAGGCTACAAATCTTATCATGATTTCATATCTTTCAAAAAACCTACTTCACCAAAATCAAATCTTGAGAAAATTCTTTTGTATCCAAAGATGCCATTGGGCTCAGAATCGTTCAACTATACCAATACAAACTTCAACTGGTTTAATCTTCTTCATATTCTTATGTCGTTTTTCGGTAGTCTGTTATCTGGTGGTGGCTGCTACTTTCTATTTAAATGCATCCGAAACAATTGGGAATGCAAAGTAAGAGTTCTATTTTTAGAATACATTCTTTAATATAGATATTGCATTTAGAGCTCCTGGCGACAACCAAAATTCAATAATTATCATCAACAGAATAAGACAAATGAAGGTAAGATCTCTTGTTAAATGTCATATATGACATTTTATAATCGATTCTTTTAGTTCCAACTAACGAGATAGCTAACGAGGTGATTGAAATGATAGTTATGAAATAATAAAAGAAATTAGTTAGTGATCGTTGTAGAATATCTGATTTATATTGTAATCAATATCATCATTTAGTTGTCTATATATATATACGTATATATATATATATATATATATATATATATATATAACTTTATTACTCGATTTAATTCAATAAATGAACATAAAAAATCAGATTCCGAAATAAAGACAAAAAGCTATATAAAAAGATTGTGTGTATGCATATGACTTTAATCATTGAATAAGATGAAGTAAGTTGAAATAATATTTCTATAATACTTATTACTAGTTAACAGTCAAGTCAATGTTTGTTACCAAAAGTCTATCGTTGCATTCCGTATCTAATTGCACTGAAAAAAAGGTAGTCCACCAAGCCATTCCGGATGGCCCACTAAACTATTTCAAGTTTGGCACCACCAAAATGGTTCCGTAGCGTAAATAAAGAACTTTTTTTAGGTTTTGAGGACCAAAAAAGGTTTCTTGCTGTCATTGCCAAACCATTGAAAAGTTCAGCAACGTGTATACTGAACTTTTTTGGTTTCGTATGTCTGGTACGAAACCTGCCATAGTTCCGTAGAGCACATAAAGGTTTCGGAACAGACTTACGAAACCACGTAGGATTTCGTATTAGACATACCGAGCCCTTACGTACATCACTAGGTTGACTGAGGTTTCGCATTTCGGATGCTCAACCTTCCCAACTTTTGTACCACACATTCCGAACCACTTCTCAATTTACGAAGCCATCAGAAGTTCCGTACCAAACCTCATTTTCCGAAACCATGAAGGGTTCCGCGCTACATTTCCCGAACCTCTTCTCATATTACCGAATCATCACGGTTCCGCCATACACCTCCGAAGCCATAAAGGGTTCCGTACCAGACCTACCAAACCACTCCTCATCGCACGAAACCATCAAGGGTTCCGTGCGAGAGCTCCTGAACCTTTGCTGCCTTTCCGAAACCATAGGAGATTCCGGGCTACACCTTCCGAGCCATTAATTCATAAACGAAGGCCTGAGGGGTTGCGCCCGATACCTCCCGAACCATCGAGAATGAGAACTCACCGCGGGCGGCCAAATCGATGTAGTCTATAAGTTTGACCCCTTCCTCTGAGTCTCTTGTATTAGGGGATGCAATGAAACATCCAGCTACCGACTATATCGTAAGCTGAATCCACTAATCGAGCGAATGGTCTGATGTAAGAGCAAGACTCACGTCGCTGAACCTACCTGAGGTGACTGGAAGGGATGAGAGATGAAGAGAATGGATGTGAATGAGATGATAAGGGTGTTTTATTGGATGAAATCGAATAAAACACTAAAGAAAACGATAAGAAAAAGACTGATCGAAAGGAGACAAACAACAACATATATACAGATTGGAGATGATCTGAGAGAAAAAAAAATAGAAAAAGAAGAAAACAGGGAAGAAATACAATCACAGAGATCATCATGAGAACGGACATGATAATTTACCGGTAACTAAAACGACAGGAAAGAAAGAGAAAAAGAAATATATATATATGTATATGCATAGAAATGCAAGAAAACAACTATGCAGAAGGTAGCGTCATGAAGTAATATCCAATGACGCTAACACTTCCGAACCATCGTGTTTGAGTAGTCAGTTTTTTTGTTTTAGGCTGATATATGGCCCTGTTATGGCGTGTACTGCCCGGCTAATCATTCAAATGACTTGGCTAAATAGAGTGTGACGGATTGCACTGTCACTGTTGTGTTTTCTCGTCCTCGGTTTCTACTTTCGTTCTTCTCGTTGCGTTTTTCGCGCCTTTTGTGTGGTTAGATTAGGTTTGTTGTTCTCTTATAAAGAGACGTTCTATACTTAGTTTTCTGTTCTGTCGTATGCTGACCTCCTTGCTGTGAGAATTAAAAAGAATAAAATCATCGTTCCTTTCTTGTGAAGTGGCTCCTGGTCCGTTCTTGAGTTGCCTCACATAGAGGTCAATTAGATAGATAAGTATATACTTATTTCTTCCCATATATTATTCTTCGCTGTTTGGGCTATATGTTGGGCGGAATGTGCAAATAAAATGTCACTACTTCTTGCCAGGGAATACCTGTGTTTGTGCTTTAGAATTATTTCAGATCGCCAGTGGTCTGTTAGTGGTGGAGAAGCGCGATCAAGTGAACAGGAGAAAGGTAGGAATTTTCACTTTACATAGCTGTTTGAGTGAGTCTATGTTCAGCTGTGAGTAGTATAGGTAATTCTGTGAGCGGTGTAGGTACTCTGTAAAAAAAATCGGGTCATACTGAACCTTTTTTCGGTACCATTTTCAGAACCTTTTTTAGTTTTAGCAAAATAATCTAGAACCTAAAATGGTTTTAGCCAAATGTGCCAGACTAGAAAAGATTTCAGATTTCTTTGCTAGAACCCAAAAGGTTCTGAAAATAAGGTTCTGAAGATGGTACCCAAATCTAGAACCATAAAAGGTTTTAGACGCTAGCTAAAACCTTTTATGGTTCTAGATTTTTTTGCTAAAACTAAAAAGGGTTCTGAAAATGGTACCGAAAAAAGGTTCAGTATGACCCGATTTTTTTTACAGAGTAGAACTCAAAACAATTTCATCTATGTATAAACCTTCTAGCTCGTAGAGGATCAGATGTCTGGTGGTGGGAAATTCTCCAGAGGTATTGCATACGGAAACCCTCAGAAAAAACCTTTTGAAAATATTTTTGGGAAATTTTTCATACGAAACGTTTTCTACGGAACCTTTAGATTTTTTCCGGGAATGGTTTCGTACGAAACCTGATGTGCGAAACCTTGTTTGTCATCGATCATGTAAAGGCTCCATACGAAACCTTTTTATGACCAAACCATGTGGAGTTCAGCGATGGTGCCCGCCAACCGATTGCTTTTTTGGTTTGGTAAAACACCTTTTTTTTTCTCAGTGTACTCGATAACATTGGAGTGCTTTTATATGAAAAACCAATTAAAGGAAGCTTTCGCATTTTCACAAATTGTCTCTCATTATGGAACATAACGTTTGAAACAAACCTTACAGTTTTTGTTGCACTAACTCAAAGTTTCTTTTATACACTTGAAAATGAGGATGTGTTACTGATAGTACTTGCTGCCCAATTTGAAGAGCGTCTTTGTAAAATAAATAGGCTTTTGAATATTCACCCATGTGAGAATACACCAAACCGATGTTGTTGTAGGATGAAGCTACAGAAGGATGATTGGAAGGAAGTGATTGTAGTTTAATTTTGAGGGCCTCTCCATGTGAAATTAGTGCCTTTGAATATTCACCGATTCGATAATACACATTACCGATGTTGTTGTAGGATGAAGCTACATCTGGATGATTGGAAGGAAGTGATTGTAGTTTAATTTTGAGGGCCTCTTCATATGAAACTAGTGCCTTTGAATATTCGCCCATGTCAGAATACACATTACCAATGTTGCCGTAGGATGAAGCTACATGTGGATGATTGGAAGGAAGTGATTGTAGTCTAATTTTGAGAGCCTCTTCATATGAAACTAGTGCCTTTGAATATTCACCCATGTGAGAATACACTGCACCGATGTTGTTGTAGGATGAAGCTACATCTGGATGATTGGAAGGAAGTGATTGTAGTCTAATTTTGAGAGCCTCTTCATATGAAGCTAGTGCCTTTGAATATTCGTCCATGTCAGAATACACTAAACCCATGTTGTTGTAGGATGTAGCGACAGAAGGATGATTGGAAGGAAGTGATTGTAGTTCCAGTTGAAGAGATTTTTCAAATAGTGTGATAGCCTCTTCAGATAGTCCTTGATGCCATTTTATCGCGCCAAGTTGGTTATAAAAATTTTCCATACCGTCTGCAGATGATCTTTCATTAATTAGTGATTTACAGATTCGTTCAGCAATACCTAAGTGCCCTATATCGGTGAGCACAGCACCTAGTCGCTCCCATCCTTTTTCATGTGAACAGTTTTCTTTTCGGATTTGCTTAGTAAGTACTCTCAATTCTTCATCATCACTATTACTCAACGATAGGTTTACTAAATACACTTCTGTATTTTCTTCCATTGCCTTGATGTTATCTATGCGAAAGATGCTGTGCATCGAAAAGAGAATTTCTTCTTCCTCCGGATATTGACTGATGGATTGAACGGAAGCGAATGTTGCCAGTGTTTGTTTAGGATCAATTTCCATTACAAAAAGAACATTTACAACGCCACTGTTCTTTTGATTTTCTGAAAGATAAAAGAGGGAGACCTTGCGTTGCCTACTAGTAGACAAGAAGTTATTGAATGACAACAATCCACCTTTGGATGCTACCAATTCATCAAAATCTTTTCTTGCCAAACTTTGAGCACGATAAACTGTGAAGCTTTCAGCACTAGGGACGTCTCCAAACTGCTGCCTGTGCAGTAGTTCAACGTGTCGATGGAGATCACTGATAAAAAAGCCCATTAGTGTGATCACTTCGCCATCCATCACTCGTAATGCACGATTCAGCATACCGTACAAAAATCTCTGTGATGTATACCACCAAATGGGCGTTTCACAACGATATCTAGATTCCAATTGTTTTACTTTCTTTCGATCAATTTCGTTATGAACATAAGGTTGGCGACAGGCAAAAGTGGAGCAAATTTTTTTTGTTGATTTTTTAAATGTGATATGATGCAGTTTGATGCGCTGAATCCGAATATGTATGATTTAGTGACATAGAGAGTCGTCTTCCAGGAGAAATCTTCGAAATACTATAAAAACCGAGGTTTTCGAAAAATCAGAATTTTCACTCGAAATTTGACAGTAGGGTTTTCAAAAAATATGTTATACCTTTGGAAGTTTCTTCTCCTGATTCATCATTAAAAACTGATTCTAGGGCACTGGTTTTTAGCGGTTCGACTCATGTCTTTGTCATTGAGAAAAATCAGTTTTGTTAATATGAGGACAAATTGAATGCCTCTCATTAAAAATGCATCAACTCATTTTCTAGTAAAGATATACATTTTTTTCTTTCATCGTTCGACTTCCTAGATGCCCTAGATATAATCTACGTATCCTTTTCCCTTAATCCACTTTCATTCCCAAGATTTCATCGTTTTTTCCACGTGTTCTATCGGAATTTTTTTTCTTTGATTTTTAACACAATTTTCGCTTTAATGTCTTCTTTTTGAGCAACTTATATGTTTATAATGATAAAGATCTTTCTAATGACTATTTCTTTTGAATACTTATTGAAATATCCTTAAGGTGAACAGACACCCTGAGATTATTTTCGTTCTGTTCGGAGTTCTTAATGTGGCGCGTCCTCTATTAGGCTGATATGTGAAGGAAAATTCCACTTCACTATACATCTATTTGGTAGCCATTGATAAGTGTACTCGTTATGACAAGATCGTAAATAAGTGTTAGGGAAAAAACTAGAAAATCACTGTCAAATTTTTGCATTCTATCCTACCAAAATCCTTCGGATCTCGTAACTTCACTCTTTCTGATTATGCCTCAAAAATCGAAAAGAACGTCTCAATCAGCCACAGCTATAAAAAGTCGTTGGGCTAAGAAAAATGTTGATGAATTAGATGATGGTTTTGTTCCGGATATCCCAACCGGTCTGTATGACTCAAATGAAAATAATAAAGAAAATAATTGTTTAAAGAACAAAATGAGTTTTTTGGATATTGGAAACTTATTTGAGGCATTGTCGGAAGAGACTTCCATTCGGCCGCTATCTGTATTAGTTTATTTATCATTGGTGTATTTCGAGATACCTTGGTGAGATATTGATTTATTTCTAAAAGCGATCGGTGGACTTACCGCGAAGACTTGCAACAAATGGAGTACAGAGATAATCGAACAAGACTTCGAAGAATTTCTGCAAGACAATAGAGGTGGTAAACACACCCACACCCTCACTCTCTTAATCTATTGTTCTCATGTCTAGATTTCAAAATTGGAAATACTTGCTAGTGACTATGGTGTAACACTGACTTTCTCGCCGAAATTTCATTGCGAGTTGAATCCAATAGAAGGACTATGGGCGCATTTGAAGCAGTATATCAGACGTCGAACGGATCAAACCTTTCCTACAATGCTCAAGTTAATTAAAAAATCCAGAGCGAATTTTATTGAGAAAAATGTTTCTCTTAAACTTCTCAGAAGATTTTGGCGTATTTTGATCGCATATGAACGGAGTGACTCTTATGAAGATGTACTGAAAATGTATTTCAGTTCCATGTGCAAAGCTAACGTGATTTCACATCGTCAAATCACTAATACCAGGCTAGATGACTGATTTTGTTGTTTACTNTACAAGTGACAGCGAAGATTTACTTGAATTGCTCGGTAATTTAAACGATTCTACTACAGTTGCAATGAACAGCATGAAGAAATCAACAGAAAATGTGTATATAGAGGAAACTATAGAAGCTGTAGAACAAATGGGACGATTCTCTCATACACACAGTATGTAATCTTGATTCATAACGACTCATCTTTAAAAACAACGCTATCCTTTCTTGTAGCACCGAACCAAAGTTCCCTCGACTGAAAGGAGGGTCATATAAAAAAAAAGTTTGTTTGTCTGTCCGTCTGTCTGTGTCAAGGTCAAAGGTCAAAAAAACATTTTTTTGCGAAACCGTTCAAACTTCAATAAAGGATCGTTTGGGAGGAGTCTTGGGACTGGATATTGATGGTGGAGTAAAGGACGGGATGAGAAGAACTGTGCCGGCGACGTCAAAGGTAAAAATCACTACTCCTTGTCCGAAATGCTTTAATTTTTTTTTAAAAATCGCTTGAAATGGGTTCAATCATTGACCGAACAACGCTTGTATATCCGAGAGATATGCCCCCAAGACGAGTAATCCGGGCTCCGGATCCCATCGGATCTTGTCGGAAAACCTACTAAATCCGGCAGATTCCTTCAGGAATCCGATAACTTTCGAGAACATCCGACAAAATCCGTGTCGGAAATCGTCGGAATCTTTGGTACAGGAATCCGATCGGAAGTAGTGGGGTGACGGATCCGACAATTTCCGACACCCGGATCCAATAGTCGGAAAATCCCAGAATGGACAGGATCCGATAGGTTTTTACAGGTTTTTCTGATTACAATTATTTGTTTTTTATTCACTTTTTTTAGCATTTATTTTCAATTTGTTTGCATAAAAAACAACAAAAAAACTATTTTACAATGACGAAAAATAGATGCATGAAAGCCAACTGAAACATGGACGATTCTTTTCTAAACAGAAAACAAATAAGAGTTAAAAACTTCTTACCTCGGTAACTAGAATCTCAAAAGAAGTACATATTCGATAAATGAAGAGTTACTTACCAGCACTATCTCGTCTTGCTTAGTATTGGTACAAGTAAAAAGTACATACCATGACAAAAGTTTGAATTTTTGCAGTATCTGCTAGTTATCGTTGACCAATAGAAAAAACAAAAATTTTATTTCTGATAATCGATTCTAAAATAAAAAATAGAAAAAAATGTCACTAAAAAAAATTTTCGATTCAAATTGGAATAACACGAAAGTAAAAATGAACGTATACTGTCAAAGAAATGAACCTTGTTCATGTAAATCGTTGTATAATCTACTGACCATTTACATGTAGTGTAAATAGAGGTCACTAAAATCTACATATAATCTCTTCAGATGTTGAACATCTACGGTTTGCAAATATACTGGTAAATTTCAGTTATAGAAGGCCTTTCATCGCCGAATCATCGTTGAAAATCTATCAGGAATAATAACTGGCTAGTGTAAATCACATAATACTTGATGGTGAAATACACTGTTGAGTCCGACACATTGCGACAGTCGGATTATGTCGGATCCAACAGGTTCCAGGTGTCGGAAATATCTGGATCCTGTTGTCGGAATCCTGGATATTCCGACGGCAGGATGTAAGCGGAAACTGAAGGATGTGCACGGAATCCCGCCGTCGGAATCCTATCAGATCTGACTTTCGGATGTTGACGTACCCAGGGCGAAATCACCCCATAGGATCCTGTCATTTCCGCCAGCTGGAACCTATCGGATCCGA